GATGTTGAGGAACGAATCTTGCGTAGGCCTTGCAAATTAATAAATTAATTCTGAAATCTGGAGAATTTTTCACAAAAACTTTGCATGTATCGTAAGGTATACATTGACCTCAATTCGTACTCTTTGTATTACAGGTTAAAGTGATATTCAGTTCTATTAGATGGGATTATGATTTAGTTAAAGCAGCATGGCACAAAGCAGGCTCTGCATAAGTCTTACCACCCGTCTGCCATACAAGACGAGTTCTTTGCCATGCATATCTGGAACATATCAAGGCACAGTACTGCACAGGTTGCTAATTATTATGAAATTGAAACTTCAGCTCCAGTTTTCTCTTCTAACTTCCGAAACCTAAACAGGTCACTTCGTGGCTGCAAAGGCGAAACGCTTTATAATACAAGATAACTTCATAGCATATGAAATCTTTTCTACAAGAAGGTGTTTATTTCATAAGGTAATTCTGCACACTATGCAAGAGTTTTATGCCCTTATGGTAATATGGTGATCATATTTGTGAACAATAAAGCTAACTCGATGTAATTATAGCATCGTGAAAAGGTCTTGATAAAAATCCCTTGTATTCAGAGCTAGGTAAAAGTCCCTTAACAGTTTGAAAGGAGCCCTTTAACATACATATATATATATATATCATAAATATATTGAACGAAATATAATGATTGTACTTATATTGTAAAATGAAAACTCAAACTTCCGTTATGAGCCGCTCTTAAAAGTTTCCCCGTACCCAGTACATATCTATTACCAAAAAAGTGCATATAAAGAACCTCCATTACAAATACATTCTATTAGCCCTGGTCTTACGGAGGGTTGTGTCATTAATTCATCATCTGAATCGGTCGAACTTTAGTTTCAATAGGACGAAATTTCCAGCTGAATGTTATTGCCAGATAGGCTCCTGTCTATCGTCAAGGTGCTAATTAAACATTAGTATCGTAAAAGAAACTTTAGGTAACAAAATATTGCTAACAACAAAATAAGAAACGACTTCTCGAGGGAGCGATGGATATCGAAGTCAGGTGTGGTACCGCAAATGGTAAATATACAATCATTAAAAGGTCGCCAAACGCTAATTTGTTGGCTAGGTTCTCGTGATAACGTAAAGGATAACGTAATTGCCTGCTAATGTGAGAAACATGTTGCGGTGTTTTTAACACATGTATTGTGGCCCGACCCCACAAAGACATACTTTGTTTCGTGCTAGCAATCAGCCGTCTGATGAAATGTCTAACGCAATTTTAATGTAAAAGTCGAAACAGAGATCATTAGATAACCAATTAGGGTGTATACTTCGAAGTCACATTGAAATAAACGTGCTCACGCAATTAGTGCAAACGTTGAAGGCGCACTATTAAAAAAAATATCTTTGAGTTTACAATTTATGCGGGAACTCATTACTTCACTAGGATAATTACGCTCAGAGTTTCTCTGCCATAAGCTAGAAGCAACCGGGTGCTTTGATAAAAGCGAATCCGATTCAAAGGCGAAATCTGGAACGACTTTGAAGAAAAACTTCTTCAGGTTTTGCCTCTCGTGCGTTTTGGCCCATGCCAAAAACCGATCTGTCTTTAAACTCAGCTGTCATTTCAGAATCATAACCCTTTATCGCTCGACTTCGTTAGCATTCTTTACGGCGGGACTCACACAGCCGTACCCAAATACACCGTTGCAGACGAATTTACAAATTTCACCCGCCCTGACAATCGTCGCTATTTTGCTGCTTTGTTGTGTCTTTATAAATTATTCTTCGTTTCACGGCAACGGCTTGAATGATTGAATTGCCCAGATGAGGCCCTAGTTTTGGCCAAAGCGAACGACCGTTAGCCACTCTTCAAGGCTCATTCAAGACCAAAAACTAAAGAATACCACGTTCTTTTATATCTAGTGAAAACATAAGAAAATTTTTTCACTCCAGTAAACCATTATGAATTTGTTTTAGCTAGAGAGTTTCCGCTGAACAAAGCCCAGAATTACTCTATATAGTATGTTAATATACATGTTACTGCAACGTACTCGCTACACAGACTACCCAGGTCATTTTAAAATACGCTAAGTGATATCGATCATTTGTGTAATATACACCTGATTTGGTCATATAGCTTGGTTTCATGGGAAGACCTTTTTGACTATGTGGTTCCTTATTGCCAGATTTACGATCCTACGAGAAAGAGCGCTATCCATTAAGTCAAGCTATTTTTCCATTCGATCGATTTTCTTATTCCTCTTCGACAAGATACAACCGAAATAAATACGGATAAGCTGCCTTGTTAAGAAATTATCTCACCTTTCTCATTGTTTCACCTTTCATGCCTTGCATGTAGAGTACAACATTTCCGTGGGCATATACGGCTTAGTTCATTATGAGGACCTGATAGCAGAGTAGCCCCTCCTGGCAAACGCCTGAAGTCCAAATTTGTTGACATCTTCTAAAGGTGAAGACAGTGCATAGGTGACGATGCTTTTCTAATCATTTGGACGTAAATCTTTTCTTTACGCTATTTGAGTAACCAGTGTTTGTTAAATAGTGCACTACGAGATGCGATAGTATATCATCATTTTGTAGTACAAAACATGACGAGAGACAATGCTGACCTTCTGCTGATGACATTATATTCTCTCTATGTCAATATACATTTCATCGTGAGCAAGAAAAACGATAGCTAGTCTACTCCTCGCTAATTGAACCTTTAAGCAGCAGAAAAGCAAAGTCGGTATGGAATGATGTAATTAGCGAAGAGTTTTAATCGCAACTGAGGAATACTTACCTTTAACGGCCATTTTTTCCTATTGTTCGGTCCCTTGGTCATGGCAAGCCATTGAGGAGGATTTCGTCCGTTTGGCATAATTCATTTGTGTTAAAAGTCACACGAATATTTGCGTCCGTGCCCATATAGATGGTAGTAGATGATCTCGCTATGGCATGGCCAAGGCTGTTTGCTGTTCTCAAACCTATTGTTGTTCAATAACCGTAATTATTACTACATTAAACACGGCTCGAACTGGTGAGAGCTGGTCCGTGGGAGATACATGTACATCTAGAATGTAGCAGTTGTTATGGTTAATGGAGGTCATAGTAGGTGACACAAATCGCCAACCCAGTAAAAACAACGACCTATTCCACAGATGCTAGCAAACTGACCAACCAAAGCGAGCTGCTTATTACTATTTAAAGAACAGGCACTTAGCAACGTGAGGTGAACTATAATAACACCGTATATACACGTACACATACAATAATATTTTTTCCATTGACCATTCGATCAATCCGATTGTATTCTGCAGTAGTGCATGCTCGCCTGTGGCAACAAAGACACGAATAGACAGTACTCAAAAACTTTTTGAGGTATTTGTTAACTGTGGTTTAACACCAAAATGCTGAAGTACGATCTTGTGAAAAATTATGTTTTTTTTTTTTATGATGACGTGAAACATATACAGTGTTTCTAAAAAGGAAGAGAGTAGGACTGGGTAGATTAATTATACTGAATTAGTTGCACGCACGCACGCACGCACGCACACACACGCACACACACATACACACATACACACACACACACACACACACACACACACACACACACACACACACACACACACACACACACACACACACACACACAGCGTCAACTGGGTTGAATATAAGTATGTTGGCCCACTGAATGACCCAAACCTATGAATATGTGCGGTAGTTGTACAAAACGATCCTGCCAAGCCCCAGACTGGAACCAAGGATTTAAGGCTCCTGCCTAACGCTCTCCTAACTGAGCTATTTTGACACTGTCATTGTTGCCACTATATCAAGTATTCATAACTACTATCGTTATATATTTTATATATATATATATAAAAAAGAGATATTTACTTTTAAATTTTGGATATTTGGTATTGTGAGTTCCATAACAGCAGAATTCAATGTCGACATTAAATTAAACTGTATGAAAATACAGTATTAAAAAAACACGCCAAATGTTTTTGATTATAAAAAGTCACCAAGTTCGTTTCAAAGACCAGAATTGATATTACTTTGTTCACTGCTAATCTAGTTAGAGTTGCTGGAGCATCACCCTGGCGGTAGCTCGTTGCTTTCCTTTTTGCATTGAAAATCAGTTTGGTATATGCAAAGATTTATCGTTCGAATGAACCCACGTAGCACCATTGCGCAGCTCACAAAACAACTTCATTCTGCCGGAGCTAGCTTTCTAGCTCACTGCCGAAAGACGCTGTACGTTGAGTTACAACGTCGAATTTACGCCAGGTATGAGGTTTTACACTATATTCGTTTAATTCTGAATAAAAGCGCCGTACACACCAGACAGTGCATTGTGTCACCATCACTAGGTGAAGATACGACTTGAGCAGAAAGAATTTAAACATATAATGACATACCAGATTTGGTTTTAGTCATTTAGACTTGGGGAAGAGTTCCACTGATACGATTTTGAATAATTAGATTGCTGCTGTTATAATTTGTTATAATTAAAAACGTGCGGTGTTCATCCTGCAGGACATGGTATGGCAAAACACGCGTACTTTGGCCCGTTCAGGTCGAAATCGTCGAGTTATTTCCTAAAACATTTAGTACTGTATTCTTTAAGGGGAACAGAGAGTAGATTATATTAAAAGCACATTAGTGAGCAAATGGTTGTAGTCGGTTTAGCACCTACGTAACGAAAATCAGAAATTCGCTTAAATATCCGACAATATTTGATTCAAACACGTTTAAGCCATGGAATATATCAGCATTTTGTATACAATGACAGCGATCGCTAGGATTTACGTTTGAAGATGTTTGAACTTAGCGGGGCGGCTATTATTAGCTCGCAGCGCCATCTAGAAGCTTGCGCAGGAAACCGCTGCATCTGTAAGCCCTCTCCCACTTCTGAGCGGGTTTTCTACGGAGTTTCTGTTCACCAGAAGAGCATGCAGTTCCCCAGAGGAGAGCTCACGGTACTCGTTCGCCTTAGAATCTATGGTGCGTCGTTCAATGCTCTGTGGTGTTTTTGTGAACTTGAACATTCGAATTTCGTTGGGTGTTAGCATTTTTTAGCTAACACTTTTTAATACAATCTTGATTCTTTCTCCACCTTAATATGAATTTAAAAGTAAAATGCTCTTGCTTGCACTGCGGTTTCACAGCTACGTTGAATTAGGACCACGGTAAAGCTTACTAACGATGTGTGTTTATCAGTACATGGGCGCGTCAAATATGCAGTCTGCTAAATGGATTACAGTCAGCCACCAAAGCTTCAGAGTGAAGCTGAATGAAGCGATCATGTTATGATAAATAATAGCTCCCAGTTTACGTCGATGTTCGTGTTTGTGAATGTGAGAGTGTCAGTAACCACACGGATTAAAATAACCACTTAGCGCGACTATGTCGTAGCCTCAGTAGGACATCACTGGATTGGAACAGGTAGGTAGCAATAACAACATTACACTTCAGTTTGCATCCCTTATTTTTTTTATTATTGCATTTATTTCAACCCAAAATCAGTATACACATCTATAGTCACACTTATCTATGCAGTCTGACTGAACGATGTATTTGTCTACACTTTTTTGAACGGTTAATGTAGCTTCACAAAAACGCTGTGAGAGCTCACCCTTTAAATGGATTGGCAAATGACGGGGTAGCATTCCCAAGGACGGTCTATCCTTCAAGGAAGAAAATTCAAAAATAGCATAAAAATTTTACTGGAAACTAATTGTATTCCAACTAATATTATGTCTAAACATGTATGTTTTACTTAAAGAAAATAAGAAAAATCGCAATTGAATATAAACGTAAAAAGAGTGCCTGTAAATGTATCCACAACAAAACGCAAAAATGTCTCTGACTGAAAAATGATAACTTAACCAAATTTTATTTATAAGAAGACATGAATTGTTTTTCATTTCAATTTGCATTTCGTACGCTCTTTGAAGTGTAAAAGACTATAAATGTATTTTGAAATAGGAACTTGTTAGGGTTGGCTTCGAAACGCGTTACAATGATGATCACAACTCTGTGTACTCTAACCCCGAAAGCAAAAGTAACCCTGCTCGCATCTTCTCAGATCTGTTAAACAGCAACGAATTGCTTCGCGTCTTTAATCCCACCTGCGAACAAGCCGCTGACAGCCCTCCTCTTGCAGGGGCTTTGTTGCTATGGGACGACCACGATATGTAGTTAGCATTTAAGCCGATGATAAATCGTCTTAGTTTTGAGATTGGACTTCGATGTCGACTGTGAACGACTGCCCATCAAAAACAATGAAAAGCCCGGGACCCACAGGATCCATCACACGAACAAACAGGCTGACTGATTTAGATGATCCTAAGAATTAACTGTCACGAGCATTGCCATAAGCCCTTAAAGCTCCTCTCAAACCTCTTGGCTTCATACCAAGTCTAGATTTTTTCATTAATATTGTGGCATATATCTACTAAACAATGAACCTTTAAATCGTTGTTCTGGTAAACCAATTGTTCTATCTAGTGCAATAGGGAGTGAAACCTAACGAATCTCAATTTTGAGAAGACACAATGCTTGATCAGGCGTGCTTTGAGTAAAATCATAAGCATCTATTATATCCACTCAAAATAATAACAAACTTCGTTGAAAATATTGCTATTCCAGATGGTTGCCGGCTTCCGTTAGCTTACCATCTAGGTGGTAACTATGAAGAAACTTATTCACTAAAGTACATATATCGCTTCATGATGAAATATCACATATTCTACGCGACTGCTTAATGGAAGTATAGCATAACATAATATAGTCACTAGATTACATACGTCTTGAAAATATAGACATATAATACAGTTCGGCGGACACTAACTTTGGAACCCTTTCTTGAATCTTCAACTTTAAATGTAAATGGCTCCCGTAATCCCTGTGTGCCTAATGAAACGATTCTCAGAAAAGCCTGCGCCGTAAAACATCCACTGAAGGTAAAGCGCTGGGGAACGTATCTACAGATCGGACAAGAACGATGTAATGTTGGAAGAAAAACAATTCGATTAAGTATTCTATAGTGTGACCATTTAAAATAGTAAAAGATTATCCATGAGAAATATTCGATATCCTAATAAATGTTTGCATTGAGTGACTGTTCAACCCGTACATTGTATCTGTAATCATAACATACATTACATAGGAAGTATACGTACAATGTACGTGAGTTTCAAAGAACGGTTCTTAGCTGCCGAATGCCTTGGGGAATTTGGCCCTCAACTTGCGTGTAACGTGGTTTGTATAGGATTTGTTGTAGCTTAAGTATTTGAAAATACAACTTATTTAGTTGTAACGACAGCGCCGTTAAGCGGTTATCGAAGTTTCGCCATGTTAACCCCATCTTTAAATGTTCTTCATGTATTTGACATTTACTATGTCATTATATGCAGTGGGTCTGGTGAAAGCAGACCTAACCGCTGATACTGGTACTACTTACACTCATAAATGATTATATAAAACTCGATATAATTATCTTTATATGTATTGTTTATCGAAAAAATGATATTAACAAAATGTACATCTTTACTATTAGTGCTAGTAGGAGTAAGTTAAGCATTCTCGTTACTCTTTTTACTTTTCGAATCCTTCAACTGTGTCTTCATCGATGTCACATACATCGAAGGCACATATCCTACGCTATCACACGACCTTTAAAAAAAACCGACAGATAGCGTAAAGAGACTGTTCTTAGAGTTGAACTAGCTGAGACTGTGGCATAATTGAGCTGGTTATTACTACTGAAGTATATTTCACGAAAAAATTGCTAGTTCTACATTTGATCGCCGATTTGCTTCAAGATCACTGAGCTACCAATAGCTAATTGTCTGTGGAACAGCAGATATGCGAGCTTATGGTCATTACGATCTGATCTTGTCTTTACTTCCAATAATATACTCACTGAGTAGGATATAGGACCATGTAAAAATGGTGCATGGCACTGCGGTCGCTTTTGCCAGGGGACCAAATTGAATCGTGTTCCTAATCGATGCATACTTTCGGGAACCTCGACTATCATTCTCCGGTCAAAACAGATGTGTGCATCAGGTAAACATCAGGTAGGCATGAATAATGGAATAACAACATTAACAGCGGCAGAAAGGGCAAAAGTATGATACGTTTGCTTGGTCGGTATAGAATTGAGATGCTTGTATTGCCAGACTCAGTTTTAGTTTGAAACGATTACAATATCATGATCAGTTCATGAGTTCTTCGATTTGATCGGATGCAGGCATTGGCCACTGCTAGGCTGAGTTTCTGGGCGATCTCTACAAGGCCACGTTTGCTAGAACAGCACATTTTGTTTGGAAACAAATCAAGTACAGGGAAACTTTTATTGTCGCCGAGTTACTTTAGTTGATATCGTAATCGCCAGTATTACCACTACTATTTTCATTATGTTTTATTGTTTGCGACGCAGCAATAGAAAATGCAGCCATTAATCTGTCTAGCCGACTCGTAGTAGGACCCTCGTGTCTACTCGAGCTATTTACTTTTTTGAATTGTTAAACGACAAAAATTGAGAAGAAAAATAGCCAGGCGAACGGAAACGCAACGCGAGGCCAGCTACTTACTGAATCAGACATTCGCCATCTGAGTGCCGCGGCGTTGCCGCCGTCGTCATTTTCGCACTCGTAAACATCACATCGAAAAAACAAACGTTTCGTTCATATATCTTCTCTCGGTCAGTCTCATTCAGCCTTCCGTTTCTTGACCCAAAAGGTCCCTAAGGGAACGCGAGCACCTTGTTTCTGTGGAGACCCTTATCAAGAACTATAGGCCATTTCGTTGATCTTAGCAGCGATAACGGCGAAAATGCGCAAACGCTTTTTGATACAGATTATTTGGATAAGTTAAATAAAACGTATGGCAGCCTAATATTTGACTATGGGCGGTCACCTGCGGAATAGCCAGCAAATCAAAATGATGAATGTACGCTAGTTGATAGACGCACAGAGACCATCACTGACCACCGCTACGAGTACGGCTCGAAGTACTGTATTTATTACTATTATTTGGCAAATTGAACCTGTTTTTCTTTTCATTTAACAGAGACCGCATGTGTCATAAACAAAACGATCGCATACTAGAGTGTTCTGTTTTTGATGAGTAACATTACGAGGGTTATTTACGTTATCGGACGAAATACTGAATGCTTAGCTTAGTCAAACGGGAAGCAATTTATTTGTCTCTTAATCCTGTCAAAAATAGTATCAGTGGTAAATAAATGCTAACACCACTGTGTGCCTGGGTTATACCTAATAAAATCCCGTATCATGCAGCACAGTTTGAGCTTTCATCTCAATAAACTGGCATGCGGATCAGTTTGACAGATACTTAATCTACTTCAAAGACAGCAAAACGGTACTGGAAACCGATACGTGAGACAGAACAAAAATGACAGCGTTATGTTGATCAAAGGAGCCAACGGTATCGCGAATTGCCGGCGGTGGCATCGGACGATAGAAAAACCCATTGTGGACGTACTTGTGTGTGTGTAGTGTCTCTGTGTGGGTGCACGTCCCGCCCCCACGTGCGACCGGGTGAGTGAGCGGTGGGTGAGAGCTGCGCGGGAGCACGCCCTCCTTCAGGGACCATGACATAAAGCGACTTCAATAGACTCAAGCATTTACATAGATTATCGTTGCAATTGCCAAAGGGCTAAGGCGGTACATGCTTAACTTCACCAAAATATGCTCAATTTATGTTATGTTTTAATTATGCATTAGACTTAGCTTACGAGACGACGCCTACTTTTAGCTTAATTCTACAAATCGAAGTGCGATTGCTCACTCAAAGTACTGCGCTTTATATAAATGACGTTACGTTATTCGTACATCATCAGCGATTCATGAGGGAAACAATGGATAAGTGTAAAGGTAAATGGGAAATGCGCACTGGAACCGAACAGGCGCCCAGCTGGTCAGTCGTCTTTTACTATTCGTTATGCCCATTTGTGTACACATTTATTATCGTCAATACATAACAATGTATCCAGCGAGATTTGGCCTAGTTTACCGACGTAAATGTCTCAGCCAGATCGCGTTTAAAGGAGTGACTTCGCCTCAATGATCATCAAGGATTCTGCCGTGTTGACCACTGGAAGCCCTTTTTCCATGCGTTCAGTGCCTCATAAGCCTCGACAAGCCTTTTTATCTCGTCGTGTTGTTACTTCACCGTTCTATCCAATATGCGTTCAAGAAGCGCCTACTCCATAATCGTCGTCATCAGAGCCACTCAAATCCCCTTCTGTTATTGTACCGTTTGATTATAGTGTATTTATTGTTGTTACTGCTTCTTATACTTTACCGGTATTAGCATTTGCGCATTACACAACTATTACCACACCTTTTCGGTAGTCAGGAGACTACTCCTGATTTTCTTAGCTGGTGAAGTATGTCTAGCGGGTCGTTTCTGAC